TGTCCTATCTCCTTGAGTTACATCACACACACCTCCATTGTAAGTAATTGTTTTATTTGTTGTCCATGTTCATTTCTATATGATAATTTAACATGTTCAAATGCATTTTCTTGTGAATGTAATATACCAGTAAATAATTGTTATTCTTGTTGTTGTTTATTTTCATCAGTTTCAATAGATAATAATTGATTATTTGTTTTTAAATATTCTGATATAAAATGAAATTTATTTTCAATATAATATATTTGTTGATATTTATTATCAATATATGGTTGAAGTAATTTAAATAAACGAAGTGTATTATATTTGATATATTTATTTTTTATAGATAAATTATAATCTTGTTGTTTAGAATTAATTTGTCGAATTAAACGACGTTGACGATTTGTTAATTTAGGTTTTTTATTTGATAATGATGGTCATTTTTTAATTTTTTTCTTTTGTAATGATGATATTGGTTGAATAATTGTTGTTGTTGTAATTGGACGTTTAACTAATGGTTGACATCAACCATCTTCTTTAACATCACAATCACAAAAAAATGAACCATATTTTGCATATGATATATCATGATCTTTATGACAAACATTAGCACATATTTGACAAATACCAATACGATCAATCATTTTACATCTATGACAATGATACCAATCTTGATTAGCATATTCTTTTTTTGTTGTTGTATATCTACATTATTTATTTCGATCATATTTAGATTGAATTGTTGATGAAAGAAGAGTTTGTTTTTTTTTATCAATATTTATATCTTCATCATCTTGTGAATCATCATCTTCATCATCACCTGATTCATCAAGTTTTAATGGAGATTTTAAAGATGTTGAATCATTTATTGTTGATAAATGTTTTAAACCTATTAAAATATCATTTATATAAGCAAGTAAATAAACAATTCCTTCAAGAATATTATAATGAAAAAAGTGTAAAAGATTCAATCGATGAAGATGTTGATAATGAAGATAGAACTGATGATAAGAATGATGATGATGCTGATGTAGAACTAAAACATAGAGAAAAAAAAATTAAGAATTGGAAAAAACAATGGAAAATTAATTGAAATGGATATCGAAAAGCATAGTACAATGATAAATAGTCTTCTTACACTTGGTCATAATTTATTAAATGAAACTGATATTTATCCACGAACAATCGATTCAATATCACGTACAGTTCAAACATTAGAACAACGTTGGTTATCATTAAAAGAATTAATAATGAAACGAAAATTTGAGTAAGTTATTCTAATAGATTTATCATAAGATAAATCTATAATATTAATATTTAGATCGGATAATATTCATATTTCATGGCGAAATATTGATGAAACTATAAATCGTATATCAAAAATGATTAATGATCATGAACGTTTTCTAACTGAAATTAAGCGAACAAGTGGTGATGGTTTACAAGGTATTCGTAATGAATATAAAAGTCTTGAGGTTTGGTTTTTCTTCTATTTTCCATTCTCGTTCATTTATGTTTGTTTATTTTAGAATTTTAAAAGAACATTAGATAATGATGATAAAGAAATTCAAAAAATTGCAAATTGTCATTCAGTAATTCTTCGTTTATATCCAACAGCTGATTCAAATAATGAAATCCGTAATAGAATAAAAGATCTTAATCATCGTTGGAAAATATTAAATGAAACAGTTCATGAAACACTAAAACATGTATAAATAATCGATTTCCTTTGTGTTTTTTTTATTAATTAAAATTTTATTTATTTTAGCTTAAATATATGTTAAGTATTCATGGTGATTTTCAATTAACACAAGATTCATTATTACTTTGGTTAACAGATCTTGATGTACTTTTAACAAATCTTGAATATTTATCTGAAGCACCAACAAATGAAAAAATTCGACAATTACATGTAACAAAAAATGATTTTTTTTTACATATTTTATTTCGAATAACTTCTTACTGTTCATTTTTTTCTAAGGATATGGATCGTGAAATTCAAGAAAAACAAGCAAAAATTGAATATGTCCAAAAATGTGCTAATTATTTACTTAATAAAACTGTTGATGCTCGTGGTTTAACAATAAATATGAATGAATTAGATAAATTTCTTCAACAATTAAAAAATTTAACAAAACGTATTAGAAAATTAAAACAAAATTTAATGAATCCAAGTGATGTAAGAATAGTATTTTATTCTATTTAACGATAGTAGATCGTTGACATAAACGACTGTTTACGAATACATACAATTAGAGAGCTGTGGGTCCACTTTGTTCTGGATCCGGACCCAGGAAAAATTTAAATTCTGCACCCGGATCTGATCGGGTTCGAGTCTGAACGGACCCGCAGCTTCCTACATACGATATGTTGATGGTTTGATAAGCCGTTTTCGGCACCTTGAGATATTTTTCGATTGTCGACAACAATCGCCATAGTGTTACGATGGTCATAAAACTTCATTTATGGTTGCAGTAAACAGTTACCCTAAACGCGTATCGTTTTTTCGCCGTAATTAAGCATGAATGATTGACCTGAGTGAAATCTTACTCCTGATGAACAGCAGCTTCCGGACTTTATTTTTTTTATAAATCCCATTATATATATCTTATCATGAGACAGAAGAAATGATGTTGAGAGTGAGGACTAATACTTCAGAATTATTACGTCTTTCTTTTAGTACAATTCAAATGTATTATATATTATCAACAGATAAATCAAAGAAAAAGTCCTGATAAGTTCTCTATGAATCACTCCTATTTGTCTATATCTCAATTGCAATTATCAGCAGTCAATTTATTCTCTTTTATGAAACTTGTTTTTTATTTCTAGCGTCATTTGGATTTAATGAGTTCAGTTCGTATTTCTACATCACCAACACATAAACGTTTAGCTTCTCCATCGCCACCAAGTATGTAGAACGAAAAAATTCTCTTTTCTTTCGAAATACTAATTTTGAAAATTTTAGGATCTCGATCTCCAAATCGTTATCGCCGTAATCGAGACCGTTTTCTTTGTTCATATGATAAAATTGAATTAGATGATTGTCGTCAACGTGCAGATAAACTTTTAGCTGATTTTGAAGATATTCTTCTTCAAATGAATGCAGATTTTCGTTCGAAAGAAGAAATTTTTCATTCTCCAATACCAATGGGCGCTCAAATTGAAAACTTATCTATGGATTTTACTTATGTAAGAATATTTATTTAATCAATTAAAGACAAAAAAAAAGAATTCTTTATTTAGAATCGAATATTAACATCTACTCGAAGAAAAATTGATGCATTACGTGAATTTATTCTTCAAATAAAACAAGAATTAGGTGCATACTTAA